AAACCAATGGTTGTGTCGTTAAAGGCAATTTCCACAAGTCCCACTATTCAGGCCCAATAGATGGAAACAAAGAGGAGGTCAAGGAGGGGCTAGCCCACATCCATACCATGCCATCAATTTCTTAGTATGAGTCTAATAAGATCCTGTATGATTCCAAATAGCATTTATATACATAATCACAAAAAGTGGCATTTACAGCCTCAGAACAGCTTGTCAAAAACTGACCATAGGAACCCCAATCAACAATAGTGACAGAATTATTAACAATAATTTCTAATGTGGCACTTGACAGTGTAACCTACCCCACTCTTTTTGTACAATTTTACAGTAAGTGAAAATTTCACAAAATTCATTATTCCCCTTGCCAAGTGGTGTAGTATTTTTTTCATATTCTGCAAAAGTCATTCCTGCTAAGGAGAAAACTCAATGATCCGTTCACTTAATAGATAACTGAGACATCCACACTTGCAGTATAGTTTTAAGACAACCTTTTGCAGATCCCACACACAATGGCTAAGAGTCATAACCCACAGTAAAGTTCAAAGTATATCCTTTCTCATTGGGAACAATACTTTTCCTGTCTCCCCATGGTCGTGGAGTCTATAGAGTGTCATTGGTGAAAATCACAGTTCCTGGCAAATGACATTCAGAAATTTGTAGGAATGGTGGATGGGGCATGAAAGCCCAAAGGGTGATCTGCTCTTCCTTCAGATGAACTAGCAAGCACTGCCAGCATGGCCCACACCATACAATCAGGAGTCTTAGGAAGAGTCATCAGGTCTCTGGCTGAGATGACCCTGAGAGCCTCTGGGAACACACACTGCTTCATGCAAGAACATCGTCCTTGTGGTCATAAATACCCCAAAGAGACCCATACATTCTTTTCATTATAAGTTGAATACAAGCATAACTCTTCCCTTGAACAAGCAATGGTCCTGATATTTTTTTCATCATCATTTTCCACCACACCTTAATAATTCTTGAAGTTGTATGAAGAGAGGCAGAAAAATGCCTTTCAGCACAAGTGCTATATGAGCCTTTAGCAAAGAAAAAAATTTAAGAAAAAATAAAAATTAATAATAATAAATCCCGTGAGTCGGAGACTGCCTTTTTCTATCCCGTTTTATTTTTTGTAGTTGCATCTTTAGCATGCTATGAGCATGTTCAAAAAATCTTGTCCTTGTGACTTATAGAGGATTCCAGTATTTTGATGTATTCTTCAGTTGTTGCTAAAGAAAAAAAAATTCTTAACAAATGCAGGCTGGTTCATTATGCAATATTACAGATGTTGGAATTCCCACAGAAAAATAATTTAACAAAATTGACATCTTTTATAGCCTCATCGGTATGAGGTATGTCCCAAATACATCCCCCCAAAATTGTCATGAGAGACATGCATAAAGGTTTGTTTTCCAAAATTACGTATATTAGTGATATCTGTAAAATATAATTCAGGTTGTCACAAAGCTTTCTGTGCCACAATTGAAAAAGTAACCTTTAAAAATTTGCAAAATTTATCTGAAGAAAAATGACAATCTACGTGTTCCAGTACGTCCTGAAAAAGCAATCAATTAAAAGCTCGTGCCAACAATGTGTTAATCTAAGATGCATATGATAAAAAAATTTTTAAAGAACCATAAGTGATTAAACATATACATTGAGTTCTACCTTGCATAATGAACTCTGCTATCTGATCAGGATAAGCTTCTATAAATCTAGGAAAACAATTTCTTAAAGAAATCCATTCTAAAGACACCTCTTGTGGGAGAAATAGGAAAAGGAAAAATAAACAAATCAGTTGGCTTCTGAGGGTCTGTTCGGAAACTAAATTCCTGACTACTTCTTGTTCAATAAACCCTAACTCTGAATGAATGGCAAGTCTTAAAATTTGGGGTCTGCTTCAAGCGGATCCTCTATGCAAAACGGCAAAAAAAAATCTGACAACCTACGTGTAGAAAAGCCTGGATATAAATGTATGTAATTAATATCCGTAAGAATTTTCAAAAATCATTAATAGTACACAAATCATCCTTCTTTAACTCCATTTCCCTAATATTGATAAGTTTCTGTAGTTTGAATTTTCTCTGAGGCTATAGTTTAATTCTGCCACTTGAATTACATCAAACCAGTGAACAAAGATGGCTGGCAATAAATCAATAAATCGATAGTTCAAATCAGCACCTTGACCTCCTTGCAATGGCTGCTGCTAGGGCAGCACTCTGCAATCCATGGAAGCTCTGGGCTCTAAGTCTCCCCTCTCTTCCTGTGTCTCGGCACCCTCTCTAATGCACCAAGTGTAATGTTGCAGAGAAGTGGAGGGTAAGAGAGGAGCTCTGTTTAACGCCATCCAATCAGCAGAAGAATGTAATTCCACAACTAATTACTGCCTGTTTCATTTCTGTCAGCAATTTAAAGGAAAATTCTTATATCTGACTCTCCTCATTCCTTGAGAATTATTTACATCAGGTACACAGTTAATAACAGCCGTAAGACACATAAAACATTTCTATAACCTCTTCGACAAGAATTCTTTGTTCTACTTTGGAAAGCATTTTTTTCACTGGCCTGGTTATAAAATCAATTTCTGTACAAAATGCTCCTCTGGTATGTTGTCCTCACTGCCTGGTAATGTCTGGCGGTAAAACTCAAGGTTAAAATGATCAATTTGGAGGATTTCTAAAAAACGAAGCTTAGGTGCTCTTGTTAGAAGAGGAAAAAACTCCAGGTGTGTCCTCTTTTAGATGTTCTTGTCCTTCATCTTATCTTTCTCAAAAGTACTTTCGTTTAATTCATGATAACGCAACAACTTTGCCTGAATTATCCATACATTTACCTTCACACTTTCCTTCTTCTACATGCAATGCTTTAAAACCACTTAAGTAAAGCTTATAAAGACCAAGTGTTACAAGAAACATGCTCTCCCTACAAATATGCAGCGTCCTTGTGAGGGAAAAAAAAGGTCTCTGCTTAAACAAGTCAGGAAAACCTTTTGAAAATGAACCGTTCTATACAATTATTTAGACACTACAACACCTGCTCAGTTAGCTTATCTCTATTCACACTCCTCTGTTGTGGCTCTCAGCCAGAGTAAGTTTTATACCTTTTTATTTATCATACCAAGTTACTAAATCTACTGTTCCCTTCCCCAGGAAGTGAAAAAAATAATAATAATTTTATGGTGAGTTTCTTCACTGTACCATCCCTACTTCTGAGAACCAATTCTACTCCTTAACCCTGAAAGAATAAAAATTATCTCAGCACTTTTATGCCCCTTTGCCTAATTAAGACAGAGAAAGATGAAGTGGTTGTACCCTGCGACCTGGCTATAGCCTTGTTCCATAACCCTGTGATACTTAGGGTTTTTGAGACAGAACTATATATATATATATACACATATATATACACACATATATATATATTTAACAGTTTTATTGGCACATAGTACACATATACTATAATTCAAAAGTACAATCACATAAAAAAGTGTTGTAGGATCATTTCCACAATCTATTTTAGAAGATATTCTTCTTTTTTGAACTAATTGTAATTAGCTACCCATTTGCCCCCAACCTCCTGTGCCATACCCCCAGTAAAACTTACTGTCTCTATAAATTTACCTATCTTCAATTTCATATATCAGAAAAACTACCAACTGCCCCCACCCAAAAAACACAACCTAAAAAACCTAATAGTAACAACAACAACAAAACAAAAACAGAAAGCCTAAGTCAAAAATAAAGCATAAAATATTGAAAACTAGAAAAATGTAAAATGAGTCATAATTTTTAACCTAACTAGATCTTTAGTAATCCACTTTCCAAAGCACTATTACTTGATATCATGGATATTCATATCCCTGGCCTTTAGTTTTATATATATATCAAAATGTCTAAAATCCCACTCAATGAGGAAAAACTGAAAACATTTCCCCTGAAAATGGGAGCTCGTCATGGGTGCCCCTTATCACTACTCTTATTCAGCATTGTATTGTAAGTCTTAGCCAGAATCATTAGACAACAAAAAGAAATCAAGAGAATACCACTGGGCAAAGAAGAAGTGAAAATCTCACTATTTGAAGACAATATAACTTTATATAGAGAAAACCCCAAGGATTCCATAAAATGACTGTTGGAAACAATTCAAGGATTTGGTAAAATAGCAGGATCCAAGATTAATAAACACTGGGGTCATGATAATGGGGTGGTGGTGGTGAGGAAACATTAAGGAATTGGAGGAATATTGTGTGTTTCTTCAATGCTTTACTGCACCCTGATTGACTCACTCCTTCCTTGTGACCCCTCTGTGAGGGGGTCTCCCATTGTCTACAGATGGGCTTTGGGTCTCTCCTCTGATCCTCCTCATTTTCAACAATATGTTTATTTTTGTTTGTTATGGGTCTTCTGATGCCTGTTACCTGATCCCAATGACATCTCATGATTGCACAGGCTGGTGTGCTTCTTCCATATGGGCTTGTTGCTTTTCTGCTAGATGGTTGCAAGTTTAACTTCAAGCCTTTAAAACCCCAGATGCTATCTTTCTATAGTCGGGCACTACCCACTTCCTTCGCCTTGCTTACTTACGCACCCATTTTGTCTTTAGTAATTGTGCTGAGAGGGTGAGCATCACATTATGCTAGTTTGTTAGAAAAGTATGCTTGCATTGAGGGAGGGTATGAGCAGAGGCCTGCAGTCCACCCACTACCTCAGTGCATTGCTGAATAAATATATGTAAATAGGCCAATGTTCTATTTTTTGAATTAAAGTGATTACATATGCACACAACTATGCTTATACCTCTATCCTTAGCTTTGCTTCCTAGATCATTCTTCTGTTTCTTTTTACCTTCCTCCTGTCCCACCATCATTCTCGCCATGCTTCTGCCTCTTAGTAATTCCTCTCAGCTAGATTGCTGTTGCTCCAACATCCCTAGGATCACTGTAGGCTAGACTGGAGCATTTACACAGGTACAAATAAAAGATAAGAGCTCGCTCAGTCCCCGTCGCCACTGCAGTCGGCTCCTTCTCCTCCGCTCTGTCACCGCCCGTCTCTCCGGTCGCCATGGAAGAGGAAATCGCCGCGCTGGTCCTCGACAACGTCTCCGGTATGTGCAAGGCCGGCTTTGCGGGCGACGACACCCCCCCGCGCCGTCTTCCCGTCCATCGTTGGGCGCCCCCGGCACCAGGGCGTGATGGTGGGCATGGGCCAGAAGGACAGATACGTGGGCGACGAGGCCCAGAGCAAGCGGGGCATCCTGACGCTGAAGTACCCGATTGAGCACGGCATCAGTCACCAACTGGGACGACATGGAGAAGATCTGGCACCACACCTTCTACAATGAGCTGCGCGTCGTCCCCGAGAAGCACCCCGTGCTGCTGACCGAGGCGCCCCTGAACCCCAAGGCCAACCGAGAGAAGATGACCCAGATCATGTTTGAGACCTTCAACACCCCGGCCATGTACGTGGCCATCCAGGCCGTGCTGTCCCTGTATGCCTCCGGCCGCACCACGGGCATCGTCATGGACTCCGGTGACGGTGTCACGCACACCGTGCCCATCTACGAGGGCTACGCCCTGCCCCACGCCATCCTGCGTCTGGACCTGGCCGGCCGCGACCTGACCGACTACCTCATGAAGATCCTGACGGAACGGGGCTACAGCTTCACCACCACGGCTGAGCGGGAGATCGTGCAGGACATCAAGGAGAAGCTCTGCTACGTCGCCCGGGACTTCGAGCAAGAGATGGCCACCACCGCCTCCTCCTTGTCCCTGGAGAAGAGCTACGAGCTGCCCAACGGCCAGGTCATCACCATCGGCAACGAGCGCTTCCGCTGCCCAGAAGCGCTCTTCGAGCCCTCCTTCCTGGGTATGGAGTCCTGTGGCATCCACGAGACTACCTTCAACTCCATCATGAAGTGTGACGTGGACATCCGGAAGGACCTGTACAACAACACGGTGCTGTCTGGCGGGACCACCATGTACCCTGGCATCGCAGACCGCATGCAGAAGGAGATCACAGCGCTGGCGCCCAGCACCATGAAGATCAAGATCATTGCGCCCCTGAATGCAAGTACTCCGTGTGGATCGGCGGCTCCATCCTGGCCTCACTGTCCACTTTCCAGCAAATGTGGATCAGCAAGCAGGAGTACGACGAGTCGGGCCCCTCCATCGTCCACCGCAAGTGCTTCTAGACAGGCTGCCCGCAGGTGTTACCACCTGCCGCATGAGCTCCATGACAGCACAGGTCGGCCCCTCATGCTAGCCTCGTGAAACTGGAAGAAGCCTTTGAAAGAATTGTCCTTGAAGCCCTCTCTGGCGGCAGCACCGATCGTCGGGCTTATTGCTGATCTCGACCTTGTATTCATGTTAACTGTCCCCCTGGTCTGTGTTCAATGCCCTGTACATCCTTTGATTTCAACCCTAGCACCGGCAACCGGGGTGGATGAGGCCTGGCCAGTGTGTGCAGGGTGCTCACGGGAAGAGCTGTGGGCTCCAGGATCGCCCGGAGGCCAGCAGGGGACCGGAAGCAGCCAGTCCTTGCTGTGTGTGGCCTGCGGGGCGGAAGAATCTGAGCCTTGGCACCAAGCGTCCTTTCATTAGCTGATGCTGGCCGCTGGAGCCCCGGGGCCTGTTACTTGCCTTGAGTTGGAAGACGGTTTGCATTTAAACCTGTAAATTTGCTCATTCTTTTAATTTATGTTAAGGTGTTTTTTTTGTACGCAATTCTCAACTCTGAGATGACACAACAAATTTTGGTTTTCTACTGTTATGTGCGAACAATAGGCCCCAGCAACACGGCGTTGTGTAAGGAGAAATAAAGTGCTGCAGTGAACGGCAAAAAAAAAAAAAAAGATAAGAGCTCATGACACACAGACTCCAAGTACAGGAATAGGAATAGCAATACCAGAAGGGTAGGGAGAAGGTAGGAAGGAGGAACTGAATGAAATGAGTAACAAATAACCACCACCACCACCCCCATCACCCCTGTATACACACACACACAGGGGGATGAACAACAGAAACCATGGGGGATGGGGGAGACAGTGGTCAGGGTAAGATATGAAAATAGTAATAATTTATAATTTAGCAAGGGTTCACAAGGGTGGGGTGGGAGGGAGAGGAGCTGATACCAAGGGCTCAATAGAAAGTAAATGCCTAGAAAAAATGATGGCAACATATGTACAGATATGCTTGATACAATTACTGTATGGATTGTTAAAAGAGTTGTAAGAGGCCCCCCATAAAAGATCCTTCAATTAACAACAAGAACAAAAAAGATTCATAAACAGAAATCAATTGGATTCCTATATGGCAGTGAAGATGGCTCTGAAAAGTAACTAAGAAAATAGTACCATTATAGTAGCTACACAAAGGATGAAAAATCTAGGAATAAGACTAATCAAAAAACCAAAATACATATACAAAGAAAACTAGAGAACATTATTACAAGAAACCTAAAGAGACCTACACAAATGGGAGAATATCCTCTTCATTAATAGAAAGATGTAATATTGTGACAATGTCAATATTGTCGAAAGCAGATCTACAAAAAAGTGAAATTCTGATTCAAATCCCAAAGTTATTCTTTAAAGAAATAGGGGGGGAAACCCCCAAAAAACTAGTTACCAACTTCATATGGAGAGCTTAAGGCCCAGGATAAGAAAAGAACTCCTCAAAAAGAGCAAAGTAGGAAGTCTTGCACGACCGAACCTCAAGCCCTATTACACAGTAGTAGTAATAGCCACAGTAGTCAAAACAGCCTGGTACTGGAATAACAATATGCACATAGACACACGAAACAGGGCAGAAAACCCAGATAGAAAAGCATGCATTTACAGGCAATCGATTTTCAAAAAAGGAACAAAAAACATTATATGGGAAAGGGACATCCTCTTCAACAAATGGTGTGGGAAAAATTGAATCCTCCTCTTCAGAGGAATGAAATAGGACCCAAACCTCAGACCATGAACATAAAACAACTCACGATGGATTAGAGACCAAAATGTAAACCGTAGAGCTATCAGGATCACTAATGAGAAAATTTGGACAAATTTTAAGGCCCTATTGCAGGGCATAAATGGACTCCTAAATATAAAACGGAACCACACCTAGCAGAAGGCAAAATAGATTACTGGGATCTATAAAACATTTAAATAAAACACTTCAATATTGGGTTTCATATACTGAAAAACAGAAAACAAAAACCCATATAACAGACTTCCGGCAAGATGGCGACTGAATAACACATACCAGAGGGATTCCCCAGGAATCAGTGCAGGAGAGAAGTTCCATACTGCCAGGTCATAGGAGGAGCATCATAAAGATGAGTAGGCACTGATCCACTAGGTTTTGAGGGGCTAGGGGCTTTTGGTTTACCACAGTGGACACTCAGCTAGGGTTTGACCTTAGCCCTGCCACTGTCTGAGCCGGAGCCAGGACCATTTGAAGCCGGCCTAAGGGCTTTAGCTCAACACAGCCACAGCTTGTTGCTGCCTCAGGGCAGGGTTTAAACCCCTCCAACTCCATGGTCAGCGCTCAGGGCTCAGCTATATTGTTACTTTTGTTTCCCTCTCTTCTCTCTGTCCCCACATAGTCTCAGGAGGCTCAGGTTTGTTTTTTTTTCTTTTTTCTTTTTCTTTCACACACCACTGCCGACCTCCATGCCATTCCCCTTAGCCTAGGGCATTTAAGCCTGCCCTGCAACCAGCTCGGAGAGCTCTACTCTCTGCAGCATAAACCAAGGCTGTGGAAAGCCCATCCACCTTCCTCAAGGGGAAATCCCGCCCACCTTCTTCCAGGGGAAATAGTGCTTTAACTTTTTGCAGCAGAAATCCCGCCCACTTTCCTCGAGGGGAAATTACTCCAGTCCATCCTCTACAGCACTTAACATTTGGCTGGGGAAATCTCACCCACCTTCTTCTGGGGTGGAAATGCTGCCTGCATGGCTAGGGGAGCTCCTACCTGTCCTCGGTGGTCCGATATGACTGAGGGAACTTTCTCCCACCTGCCATAGTGCATCATACTGCCTAAGGCAGCTCAGCCAACACTCACCAATGCTCCATGCTGCTGCGGGAACCTCTGCCCAAACTCTACAGTGATATACCTGACCAGGGCAATTCTGCCAATGATTTGCGGTGCTCTATACAAAAGCAGGCATAGCCACTAGCCTTCTGTGGCACTCCCATTGCAACAAGCACCCCCACATGCCCTATATGGGAACCCAAGCTGTCATGGGCCGTACCCTCATGGCTTCTTGTGAGATCAACCAGTGATCTCATAGGTCCATAACCACCCAAAAAGCGTCCTCTTAGAAGACTATCCAACTTGCCACTCAAATAACAGCATACTGGTTGACTAAGGAAAGAGTGAAACCACAGGAGGCTTCATGGTAGGCCAATTCCATAGTGCAATTAGCTGCATGCAGTTCAAAGAAGCATTCCTATGAGTCTCCCAGAGAGAGCCCAGTGCTCTTCGACTCTGGAAAATGGCACCTGGCTCCTCTAAAACAACACAACGCAATAGCAATAAGCCCCAATGACTTCAACAACAACAACAAAACTAGGAGAAACAAAAGGCAATGTCAGAAGATGTCTTGGACCTAAAGACATGCATAGAAGAAGCAGACATTGATTCTTACCAGGGATGCAGGGATGTTTCAGCATATGAAAGACCATTAGTATCATTCACCACATTGACATAAAAAACTGTAAGAGCAATATGATAATATCTATAGATGCGGAAAAACATTCGACAACATCCAACACCAATTCCTGTTTAAGACACTCAAGAAGATAGGAATGGAAGGAAAATTCTTTAATATAATACAAGCTATATACAAAAAACTAACAACGAACGTGGTAGTCAATGGAGCAAAGATTAATACAATCCCACTGAGAAAGGGGACCGCAGAAGAATTCCCCTTGCCCCCACTCTAATTTAACATCATACTGGAGGTGCTAGCCAACAGTATATGGCAAAGAAAAGACATAAAAATTATTCATGTGGGGAAGGAAAAAGTGAAACTATCCTTATTCACCAATGATATGATTTTATATATGGGAAATCACAAAAGCTCCACAAGGGGAGTACTGGAAGCAATAGAGGAGTTTGGCAGAGTGGCAGGATACCAGATCAACAAAGGTACAGGAGTCTACCAGACTGCTGTACACATCTGATAAGACCTCAGAAGAGGAGCTCAAATACGTGGTGCCTTTCACAATAGCCAAGCACAAATTGAAATATCTAGGGATATACCTGACTAAAACAACAAAAGATTTGTATGAGGACAATAACAGAACACTAATACAAGAAACCAAGAGTGACCTCAACAAATTGAGGAATATTCCATGCTCGTGGATTGGAAGACTCAATATAGTAAAGATGTCAGTTCTGCCCAAGGCACTATATAAGTTTAATGCAATCCCAATACAATTATCTTCATCTTTCTTCAAAGAAATAAAAATTAAACTGATGACCAACTTCATATGGAGAGGGAAAAAGCCCAGAAATAGCAGAGAACTCCTCAAGAAGAAGGACACAGTGTGAGGGCTTGCTTTACCTGACTTTAGCACATATTAGACAGCCACAGTAGTCAAAAACACATGGTATCAGTATAATGACAGATACTCAGACAAATGATAAAGAACTGAAAACCCAGAAATAAAATCATCAGCATACAGACAACTGATCTTTGATGAGGGCCCAAAAAATTATCAAATGGGAAGCAGATTCCCTCTTCCATAAGTGGTGCTGGAAAAAATGGATATCTACCTGCAGAAAAATGAAGCAAGGCCCATATCTAACTCCATGCACAAGAATAAACTCAAGGAGAATCACAGACCTCGAGGTAAAACCCCAAACTCTTAGGGCCATCAATGAGCGAATTGGAACAAACCTGAGAACTTTGGCGTAGGGAATACATAGGCTATCAGATTAGGGAAGGACACAAACAAAGAGGAGTCACAAATTGGAAAGTGGGATAAACTGAAGAAGATAAAACACCTGTGTACATCGAAAGAATTCACTAAGAGAGTAATAAAAGATCCCACAGACTGGGAAAACATCTTTAGCAATTATACATCAGACAAAAGCCTTGTTACTAAAATCTACAATACTCTGCTAGCTTCCAAAAAGAAAAAAAACCTAATTTCCTACTGAGGAAGTGGGCACAGGAACTGAACAGAAGCTTCACAGGGGCAGAAATACGA